TCATGACTTCAACATAATCACGATTTAGAAAGATATAATAAATTTGTTTCATTAGAAAATAGTAATATAAAGTGAGGAATTTAAGCTTGTATTATGAGGTAGAATAATATGTCTTTTTGATTTTTTGTTTTATTTGCAATTTGATAATTTGATTTGAGAGTTTATGTCATGCAGATGTACTAACTAGTTACAAATCTTTGGGGCAGATCACGTGCTTTTGTTCAACTATGTGCTGTGAACAAGGTGGGGTTTGTTAACTTACTTATTTATTTTATATAAAAATGATTTAATATACCTAATCTTTGATTTTTTTAAAAAATTAGCTTGTAGCCTTGGAAGTAACCAAGGAATATGCTGCACATGGGCAATTAGCGAGCGTTGCGAATCAAGAATAATCATCATATTCATCTACACTCTCATTACTAAGCGTGCTTGGAAAAAACAAGATTATTAATCCTCTAAAAAAAACAAATCCTGTATGAGCTGGTGTCTTTGATTTTTTCGTTGAAAGAACTAAGTATATATCTAAATACGTAGATTATAAAAGATATGTTTCATTCCCAAAGATCTTGATTTAGGTGTTTAAAAGCTTGAGAATGTGTGGGGAAAAACAAGAGGGTACGAAGTTGAACATGGACCTTGTTTGTTTTGGTAATGTGCTTTTCCAAGTTGACTTTTTTGCATTGACCCTTAATCCCCAAATCGGTACATGTATCACACGTCAACCACGCCATTCAACATCTATGACATCATGTAAATAAACCCATCCACTGAAAAAGTTCACATGTCATGACCATATATATATCAATGTTACGTTGATGTATACTACTAATTACTAAGTATTTAGATTTGGTTTAACTTAACAAAAGAAAAGTGTATAGACAGGTTTACGTAAAACGAACTGGAAACAGAAAGACAAGTAGTGGGAAACAATTGGCAAGTGAAATAAATAAAAAAGAAAATCACATGAAGCAAAATTCAGTTTTGACTGAAATAATATACGAATGTTACTATTTAGTAATTGACTTAAAAAAAAAAAAAATCAAACCCCTCATAGTGTGGTTTTTATGATAAAACCTTGCACTCGAATAGTCTGAGGGGAAAAAAAAAGTGGCACATGATTCCACTTTATTATCACCCACCATTTCCACATTTGTTTAGTTTCGCCATTACTTCTAGTGTAAAGGCTTCTTTTTCTTTGATTTTGACGAGCAACATTACAAGCACATATCATAAATATTCATAATAATAAATGTTGTTGCTTGCAAATCCTTAATAATTTGTAATTTAAAAAAAATAAATTCCAAGACTCTTGTGTTTGTCGTCACAAAGTAAATAACAAGGATAAATATTTTAAATATGTTCTATGTTCCAAACTCGTAAACTCTCAATGTTTTTTATCTTTCGCGTTCAAGCACTCAAACCAATCGATAAATTTAGAAGATCCGTGAGTGTAAATTAACTGAATAATAATTAAACCTCATAGTAATAGTACTATATAGTTTTATAAACTGGAGAGAGTTTGTGTAAATTTAATTTAAAAGGTGGATATGAATTTAAGCTTAGTACTAAGGAAAAGGTGATTTTAATTTCTTCATAAAGTACGCAAATAGGCAGACAAAATAATAAATTCTCTCATATAAATGCGATTCGTGAGACCGTTTTAAAAAATATTTATCCGATCCCTAACTTTTAAGGCATTACTTAATGATTAGTTAAAAGCAATTTCATATAACGTACATACTGTTTAGCCACACAGATCAGTTAGGTCAACTGATAGAACATATAATAGAAATCGCCGATAGGATTTTTATGTTTCCAAAATAGCGAAAGGCTAGTATTTGCAAGTAAATTAATGAAACACTTAGACAGTTTAGTTTCTTTCTTTTTCTCTCCTTATTATACTAAACTATTCAAATATATATAATTTTACGTAGATTAGATCTCAGATTATCTTCAAAGTTATAGAACTTGACAAGATATATAACAACATAAAATGTCATCATGAGCATTGGTCAGAATTGTTGAACCGAGCCATTACTATTAGGTACATTATTAAATGTTATTGTGCATGGATTAAAAAGGAAAATAAGAAAAGTCAAGAAACTAAATTACCAAATTAAGACATGCAAATAGATTAAATTTTACTCCCTCTGTTTCAGTTTAGTTGTCGTTTTAGGCTTTAAATTTTGTTTCATAATAGTTGTCGTTTTAGATTTTCAATGCAAATATTTGGTGAAAATTCCAGTTTTATCCCTACTGTTTTAATGTTTTGGCCAATGAATTTTTTTATAAAATATATTAATAAAAGGTAAAACAGAAAATTTAATGCTTTTCTTAATTCGTGTGAAAAAACGTTAAACGACAACTAAAACGAAACGGAGGGAGTAATTTTTAATAATGTATTAAATAACAGTTCTCATCATATGCACATGGCAATTTGGTGCTTCCTTCACACATACTTAAAACTTGTAACAATATAAAAGCAGTTGGTTAAAATACGAGCCAGCACTTAAGTCTTTTGGTGGGAGGATCTAGTGGTTAATTAAGAAATATAATCACTTTGATATTCCCTAAGCACATATCCTAATCTGCCCACTACTACCAAACTCTATTTACGATGAATGGCCTCACTGGAAATAAAGTACTAAAATCGAATCATGATATTGCTCGTAATTAAAAGTCGATTAAAATCACGCCACTGTATATATCAAATCAAATCATAATCTACATTTTTGAGTCTTATCAGACAGACTATGAAGAGTTCTATGATGATTTTAGCAATCTCTCCACTTTTACGATTTGATTTTGTTTGGTAGGATTTGATCTTAAAAAATATTGAAATGGATGTTGTATGGATTTTAATCCACACCACAAGTATTTAATTATTTAAAAATCCATAATATCCCAGTTATTCGTTTCTGTAAGAACGAGTTTCCATAGAGAATTATTGTTTCATGAATAATCTTAACACTTTTGTTGTTTGGTCAGAACTTCATTTCATTACTTAAGAAATTGGAACAAGGGTAACAAAGGCCAGAAAGAGTTCCTTCAGCAAGAGAACCACAATACATTCTCTAAACGTGGAATAGAGCAACCAAGAAAGAAATGAAATGCTCCTTCGTTGTCGAAGATAACCTAGAGCTCTGCACAACCTTGATAAACTCTATTTTATTTGTTAATTGAAATATATTCAGCAAGTTGTTCCAATCATATTGGCATTCCCTTTTTATCTGCATCCATTTGCTAATTGTAAAAAGCGCACAAGTTGATGTACCTCGGAACTTCTTTAATTCATCTTTTCTGATTTTCAAATAATTAATTCATTTATTTTCCCCAAAAAAGTATTTATTTCAACTCATGTGATCAGCGAAATGGAAAACATAAAATAAAGTAATCAAAATTGATGAACAGAGAGCATGGAAACCATGTAGCACACCATCTGCTTTTTTCAGCCAAAATGATGCAACTCTTTCTCTTATTACTTCTTTGTCTATATCACTCTCAACTTTGTTATGGCCGTATCAAACTCATACTCTGATAAAATAATTCACTAAGAAGTAGTTTATCTAGCTAACATCGAAATTTTGATGTTTTTAATACAACAACAATAAGATAGAGACGATGCCAATTTCTTATAAATCTCGATCTTATATTAATCTAACATCGAAATTTTTGATTCATTGCTTAGAAAAAGTCATGTCATCTATATCCAATCGTGGCATGGTTTTAAGTCCTTACAAATAGATTATTTTAAAAAACACTAATAAAAAAACAATATATTTTCTTTCATAAATGTAGCAGGGAAATTCAGATGTAAAAGTGAGGGTTTCTACAGATTTTCACATGTCCATTGCCATCCTTCAACGTCACTTATAAAATCTAAGTCAACGAGAAAATCTCGTCCGTAGGATGTTGATGATGATGGTCATGATGAAGATCATGATGATGATCGTACATATTGTGATGGTCCCTGAAGTCATGGGCTCTTACAACACCTTTCAAGTCTTGTGGTTACCTCCTCTGTCAGAGCTTTTTTTCTTTTCTTTTTTAACTTTTATTCTCTTTTTGGGTTTACTTATCAAAAACTAAAAAAAAGCTTACCAAAAAAAAAATCAAAAACTAAAAAAAAAATAAAGAAGAGAGGAAAGAATTCAGATAACTGACAAAAAAGAAAGTAATTCCGAATTGTTTTGCACTAATTTTATTAAAAAAGAATTTTTGATTTTACTTTTATAAAAAAGCTACAGAAAAACATAAACTTCATGAGAGAAATATAGCCCAACACAAAATTGGATGAAACTCAAAAGACCACTGGGCTTACTTTTGTAGTTTCCTTTAACTTTCTCAAAAGCCCTAAGCCCATTTCATTATTCCAACACTTTCATCATTTTTTCTTTTCTTTAAAATACTTAGCATATGTTATATTTAAAAATTTCAATGCAAATAAAATATAAATCTTGTATCATGGCCTCCCTCTTTTTGCTGTCTATAATTTAGATGATAATATTGATAATCCACAATTTTCGTGGGTTGTCATTATTTTCTCTATGATTCGAATCTTTAAATCTATTAAAAATGTCAATTATTAAACATAAATGGTTACAAACAGCTTTCTACCAACATAAAGAATGTCACAAACGGCTTATGATTAATCAATTTGGTCCCTCAAACCGGTTTCAACCGAACAGAAAACCGGGTAAAATTAAGCGATTCACCAAACAACTAACCCCACACGTGCCTACCATAACTTCATGGCAAATTCTCACCACACATTGTCTTACACGTGTATTATTATATATAATATATATACACATTCATGTGTGTATCTCCTTGTTCCTCTGTTTCTCTACCGTAACTTGCGGCCAATCGTAGAAGAAGAGGAAACAAACCAGGAAAAAAAGGTACAAGAAAAAAAAACACTCTCTCTCCTATGTGTCTGTAATGGTTCACAAGTAATCAAATTCATTATAGATCTGGAGTTGTTTAAAATGTTACACATTGTTAGATTTTCGAGAATCGGCGGCGGAGTATTCTCGCCGGAAAATGGGGAAAGCTAGAGGAGTTAACAGCGGCGGAGGAGAGAGCTCTCTCGGTTATCTTTTTGGTTCCGGCGAGTCTGTTTCCAAACCAAGCAAGCCCACCGCTAACACCAGCTTTACCACCACCACGACTACCACAACAACAACCGATGGAGCTGGAGGAAGACCGAAGACCACGACAACAACCACCACCACCGGAGATAAAAACAAGACAGAGGAGAACTCGGCTGGTGTGAGAGGAAGTCCTAATAATTACTACAGATCAGATGGCCAAAACTGTGGCAACTTCCTCACGGTAAGAGTTTTTAGGATCTTTTTTGAGTTTGAGTGAGGAATTTGAATTCGAAACTGATTTGGTTTTTGGGTTTAAGAAACAGGAACGACCATCTACGAAGGTTCATGCTGCACCAGGTGGAGGATCTTCTTTGGGTTACTTGTTTGGATCTGGCCCATCTGTATCTGACAAATGATTTCAATTTCCACGACGTTAAAAAACAGAATGTAAAAAAATGTAACTTTATTCACTATCCTTGAAACTGGTTGTGAGGATTGTTTTGGATTTGGCCGTTTCTTGTATTCTTGAAAAAGGATTTGTCAATCTATGGTTCAAAGCTAGAAGCTTTCTCAATCTTGAAAACATTCACAATTCGATCTAAAAATATTCAAGAATATATAGATTTCTGAATCTTTTAATCCAATGTATGGTCTACTACTAGCTTCCACGTAAAATCTTCGATTTCGATCTGAGCATAAATGGAGATGACGTGGCCATTAGCCGGATCACGGCGGCACTAGATCCTTGATTCACCAAGTAGCTGTCGGAGAACTAATCTATACGATTGATACCGACCGTTAGATTATATACGTTAATTTTGATGCACGGGATCGCCGTTAGATACACAAAAACCGTTTCTTTCCCTCCTTATTTTAATACTAGACCGGACCCGGTTTAATTCTTAGCCGAGAAAAACCATAAAACGTCGATTAGGGCTTCCTATCTGTTCCTTGCTCTCTCTCTCTGCTCAGCTGCTGAAGAAGAACTTGTGCCAGGGATTTAGGATTAGCGTTAGGACTCAGTGGAGGAGATTCAAAACTCAGAGCAGAGAATGACGACGATTGTTCCGACCTCTGAAGTAGATCCTTATCTCGCCATTGTTCGTTTCACTTCCCAGCTTGCCTGGGCTGATGCTGGTCCCGAGGTCGGTACCAACCTTTGTTTCTCGATCATCGACAAGTGAAAATGATTCTATATTTTGATTATTTTCGCAAAGTTGCTACATTTCGTTGATTGGTGAGGCGTTGTGTTGATAAAAATGAAGTCCCGAATTGAGCAATTTAGTGTTTTAGCTACCATGTGTCTATTGCAATCTCACTTATCTCCTAAAAAATATTAATTTGCCTCACTCTGGAATTGTTTGGTTGATTATGATTTTCTGTGCTTGTTAGGTTGCAGAGCCTGAAGTTTCCAGGCTATGTAGGGAAGCAGAGGATGTTATAATAGATGGGAAGTGGCTGGGTTTGGCAACGTTAATGGTAACTTCAGCTGACTTGGTATCATCTAAGATCTCTGAGAAAGGTCTGTCTTTTATCATTTTACCATTGCACAGGTCTATTTGTTTGTTAGTCCTTTTTGGCCATAATTTCTGATGTTGTTTGCCTGTTGTTATCAGATCTTGAGTGTACCTACACCATAATTTGCAGCCTTGTCAAGAATGTGACAAGTCCTGAGGAAGTCCTTGAAATGGTGAAAGTTATAGCTTTGAAGGTTGTTCAACAGCCGACTGACAAAGCTACATTGCGTTTGAGAATGTATGTTCGTGTGAATCTTTCAGCATAGGACTCTTTGAGCATATATGTATTATGGGCTTCTTATCTGTTGGTTGTCTCTGTGCAGCCTCTTCAATCTATATAATCTGCTAGACCACCCAAATGCTCGTTTTCAAGTATACATGAAAGCTCTGGAACTGGCTGTAAACGGGAAGGTTACCGAGTATATTGTGCCTTCCTTTAAGAAAATTGACAGCTTCTTGAAAGAGTGGAACATTGACATCAAAGATCAGCGCGAAGTATTTCTTTCCATTGCTAAAGTACTGAGAGAAAATAAAAGGTACTGCAACAAGGTTTCTTTCTTCTCTTTTTTTGTTTAGGTATACCAATGTCCTCATGGGATTCTTAATTAAAATTCCAGTTTGGCGAAAGAATCCCTTCAGTTTGTGACAAAATATTTGGCAACTTTCTCCAATGAGGATACCCAGGTCCTGAGTGAAGCCAAGGAGGAAGCTGTACGAGCTGTTATTGAATTTGTCAAGGCTCCCAGTACATTTCAGGTATCATAATTCATAAAGCATTTCGATTCAAATGTTTAAGATTTTTGCTAATGACCTTTACTTTCATTGGAAGTGTAACTACTGCTTTTTGTTCAGTGAAGTCTTTTTATTGGAATTTACATCCACGAATTTTGTTTTTTCATATGCAGTGTGATTTATATGACATGCCAGCCGTCGCACAATTGGAGAAGGAACCTAATAATGCACCAGTTTACCAGCTACTGAAGATTTTTCTTACCCAGAGGCTGGATGCATACATGGAATTCCAAAATGCGAATTCAGGATTTCTGCAAACCTATGGTACTACAGTTCATATCCCTTTACCGCTTATCATAATTCATAAAGCATCTTTAGTGAATTCTCAAGTATTTAGCGTAATAAGTCATAGACGGTGTTTGCAGGGCTTGTCGAGGAAGACTGTGTAGCAAAGATGAGATTGTTGTCACTAGTTGATTTGGCGTCAGATGAATCTGGCAAAATACCGTATGCCTCAATCAAGAATACTCTACAGGTTAACTTCTTTTGCTCGAACATTACATTAAACGTTGATAACCTTTTTGCGTTGCTTCTCAGACTCATCGAATTTGTCGGGGTACAGGTAAATGACGAGGAGGTTGAAATGTGGGTGGTTAAGGCAATAACTGCAAAATTGGTTGATTGTAAGATGGATCAGATGAACCAAGTTGTAATTGTCAGGCAAGTTTCTGTTTCAGTTTATATGTGTAAATCCAAAGTCACACACATTCTCATACTTTTTTCATATTTGTTCATATATCAGTCGATGTGCCGAGCGTGAGTTTGGACAAAAGCAATGGAAGTCTCTTCAAACAAAGCTTGCAGCTTGGCGGGTAAAATACCAAACCACAATTTTAAAATCCTGAGAATTCTTTGTAATAATAACATGTTTCCTTGTTGGGATATGTGCAGGACAATGTTAGGAATGTAATCAGCACAATAGAAGCGAACAAGGCAACAGAGGAAGGTACTCAGACATCATCAGCAGCTCAGGGATTGACTGTCCGTTGAAAGATTTATCAGAAGAAGAAGCTTCTCAATCTAAAGACTGATTTGATTATTGTCATCTCAAAAGCCGTTTATTGTATTCTTTGCAGAGTTTTTTTTTACCGTAGGATCTTTTTGATTCGTTTTTTTTCTTGAGATTTAACGGCTGAAACATTTTGGTGGGATTGGCAGCTCAAAACCATTGCATTTAAAAATAAGGGCTTTCCTTTTTTTGTAGTCGAGTAAAAAATATATTGGATTCAAATTTCTTCAGTCGTCTTCGTTTCTTTTCTCTGATTTCAAGAAATGTTACAACAACTCCGCTCTAGTTGTTCTTCGTCAAATTCTCTATGATTCGCGTTAGTAAGCTCTCGAATTGATCGGAATTGGCGTCAGTCTTATCACAATTTCATTATTGAATCTCTCGTGTTGGCTTCTGTTTTCTCGTTTCGATTTTGAGATGATTTCTGGGTTTCTGCTTCATCACCTTCATGTCGACATGTGAAGTAATTATCTACTTTGTGAACTGTGGTTTGATAATTGGGGTGGCATCAATTCGTCCAAGGTTCCTTTAGACATTGACGGTTTTCTTGGTAGTGAAAAGGGTTCTCTAGGGTTTGGGATAGGTATGGATAGATTCAGCAATTTACCAGACGATGTTATTTGCCACATCGTGTCTTTTCTTTCGGCAAAGGAAGCTACGTGCTTAAAGTTTGTCTCCAAGAACTTCCGGAATTTGGTTACTATCAAACCCAATGTTGTCTTCGATCTTTGGGAAAGTTTCAAGAATTTTGCTGATGGATTATTGGCTGAACCTACCAGCTACCGTATAAGGAGATTCTCTCTGAAATTGGGCTCTATGGATTTTGCTCAGTATAAGCTTCTCAACGATTGTCTTTGCAATGTGTTGAAGCGCGGTGTCTTGGATCTTGAACTCGACATTAATGTCAAAGAAGATTACATACTTCCTTTTGAAGTCTTCACTTGCAAGACACTTGTTAAACTGAAACTAGGGTGTGGTTTTGTTATTGACATTCTCCCTAAGAATGCTTTGCTTCCAGCTCTTAAGACTCTCATTCTTGATTTAGTTCGGTTCGATAGTAGTGATGGTTGTGCGTTCACAAGGCTTCTTTCTGCTTCCCCTGTGCTTGAAGAGTTAGTTATACATCGTCTCAACTGGGAACATTGGAAAGGTTCTCGCTTTGTGTCTAGTCCGACTCTTAAGAGAGTTACTATTCGGCGTAAAGAATGGAAACCTGAAGCTTGGACTGAATTTGAGAGCGTTAGTTTTGATACTCCGAGTCTTACCTACTTAGAATACAAAGATGTTATTCCATATGGGTATCCAATTGTTAATCTCAACTCCATTGTGGAAGCCAGGCTCACTCTTCCTAGGGAAGTAGAGTACGATTGGGTTAACAGATCTGCCGATCCTTCAAATTTGATCAAGGGGCTAAAAAATGTTGAGATTCTGAGCATCAAGGTTCTTCATACGATGCAGGTAACGGTTCTTGATATGTATGTGCAGCTTAAGAAATAAAAGAGCATAAAGATAAGTTGTATCTAGGAACCATTGAGATATAAGAATCAAAATTTTGGTTGAAGTTTTGATCCATAGATTGCAATTTGATGACTGACTAATTTGTTTATTTTTTCTGTTCCAGCTGGTATTTTTTAACTTCAGGGAAGCAATCCCAGTGTTTGAAAACTTGTTTCATTTATCGGTTGACAGTGAACCAGAATTCTGTTGGGATCCTCTGCAAATTCTGCTTGAGAAATCTCCAAATCTAAAGACTCTCACCATTGAGGTATGACCATAAACCCCAAAAGTTCATTGGACAAACAAAAAAACTCATAAATCAGAAATACTCCTCAGTCAATCTCAAAAGTTCATGTCTTTTTCAGGGTACCTTGCACTATAATTTTCATTGTAAACTGGATTTGGAAGCTGTTTGCACATGTTTGTTGGGGTATTCTTTCCTGTTGTCCTGCCATATTAAGGTCCTCAAGATAACCAAGTTCGTAGGAGATATCGGAGAGATAGTGCAAGTAAAACATGTCTTGGGGAAATTGCCGTGTCTTGAGCTGTTGGAAGTTGATGTTCAGGCAAGAAGAGATGACAAAAAGCTGCAAATCATGGCGGATCTCCTAATGCTTCCCAGAGCTTCATCCAAATGCAAGGTCCTGGTCAAGTTCTCTTGAGAAAACTATGAACAAACTCTAATCTCTCTTGCCTCAACATGAACTTCCTTATCTGATAAGTGTAACAAAAGTGCTTCCCGTTTGTTGACTTGAGAACAGCTGGTTTGTTTGTATAATTGCCAAGATTAAAACAGAGATAGTTTCTCAAATATTTTCCGTTGAACCAAAGCTTTGAGGATTTTAACATTCACAGTTTTGCCCAGAGGGGAAATAAAACAAAACTTGACTTGTTGAGAAAATACAGAACCTCGTATGTTTTCTTTAATTTGGTGAAATATATAAAATCTTTTGAGATATGTCAATTTAAATCTCCTTTGAATTTCTGGGAACAATTTCATAGAAAAGGGAAATTATCTTTTTTCCGGAGAAAACAGGAAAGCTTAGGAAGATGGTAAGCTAAGTTGGGAGATATGTTTGTGTCAGAAGTTGACTCATGGCCAGTCCCCACTTTTTTTTTTTTTTAATCTTCAACCCCAAGTTACTTTCTGACTTCTCATCTCTGAATCATTAGGGCTTTCGTTTCTTTAAAAACAAAAGACAGTTGAGATGTTGTCTTCGGACAAGAACACGTCAGTTTCTAATGCTGTTCTATTATCAATCACCACCATAAACATTGCTTAAAGTTATGGGAAACATGAAAGAATAAATTTGGAGAATGCAACAACAAGTAGGTGAAAGCCTATCTTCAGACCAAAAAGACTCATCAATAATCTGTGAAAAGCTTCTGTTTAAATCCATAAACACATCAATTTCAAATTCCTGAAGAAGAATAAACTGAGGTTAAAACACTTTACCTGGAATCAATTTCCTTAGATCTTTCTTCAAAAGATGAGGCTCTTCTTCAGCTTCTGCTTCTTCTTCTTCATGATCATCTTTACCGCAAGTGAGTTCTGTATATTCATTTTTGCCCGCTATCTGCATCACATTAACTTACTTTTCTTACTCTCTGATTCTGTTTTTTTTACAGCTGCTTATGATCCATTAGATCCTAGTGGTAACATTACAATCAAATGGGATATCATGTCCTGGACAGCAGATGGCTATGTGGTAAGAATCCTCTACGCTTGTGCATAAGTGTATGTGTTTGAAACTTGCACAAAACTCTCATTATCTCTACACACTCTGTGCATTTTCAGGCTACGGTAACTATGAACAACTTCCAAATATACCGGCAAATTCAAAATCCGGGTTGGACATTAGGCTGGACATGGGCAAAGAAAGAGGTGATTTGGTCAATGGTTGGTGCGCAAACAACAGAACAAGGAGATTGTTCCAAGTTCAAGGGAAATGTACCTCATTGCTGTAAGAAAACCCCAACGGTTGTTGATCTCTTGCCAGGTGTGCCTTATAATCAACAGTTCTCAAACTGTTGCAAAGGCGGTGTAATTGGAGCTTGGGGTCAAGATCCATCAGCTGCTGTATCCCAGTTTCAGGTTAGTGCTGGTTTGGCTGGAACTACAAACAAGACTGTCAAGCTTCCTAAGAACTTCACTTTGCTTGGTCCCGGGCCTGGTTACACTTGCGGTCCAGCCAAAATCGTGCCCTCTACCGTTTTTCTCACAACTGATAAACGGCGAAAAACACAAGCTTTGAGTAAGCAATTAATCTAAAACCTTAAATTGTAACAGAGCATAGTTGAAGAAGTTTTATATTTTCTTCATCCATATGCATCGTTGCTAAACATCATTTCAAACTTATGTTTCTGCAGTGACATGGAATGTTACCTGCACATACTCACAGTTTCTAGCCAGAAAGCATCCAAGCTGTTGTGTCTCCTTCTCTTCTTTCTACAACGACACCATAACTCCTTGCCCGTCTTGTGCCTGTGGCTGCGAAAACAAAAAGGGCTGCGTCAAGTGAGTAAAAAGAAAAACAAATCATTGAAATCCAAACTCTTTCTTATATCTCCTAATCTGAAGAAATTAATATCAATGTTTTCTTGCAGGGCTGATTCTAAGATTCTAACCATGAAAGGTCTCAACACAACGAAAAAAGACAACACTCCATTGCTGCAATGCACACATCATATGTGCCCGGTTAGAGTCCACTGGCACGTTAAAACTAACTACAAAGACTATTGGCGAGTAAAGATAGCGATCACAAATTTCAATTACCGGATGAATCATACGCTCTGGACTTTAGCAATTCAGCATCCAAATCTCAACAATGTGACTCAAGTTTTCAGCTTTGACTACAAACCAGTTTCTCCTTATGGATCCATAAGTAAATACCTCTCTCAACCACAACTATTCAACTTCAAACCAAACATTGAATGACTAATAACTTTCTTTTGATGCAGATGATACTGGAATGTTCTATGGAACGAAGTTTTACAATGATCTATTAATGGAAGCTGGACCTTCAGGGAATGTACAATCAGAGGTTTTGCTACAGAAAGATCAAAAGACTTTCACTTTCAAGCAAGGCTGGGCTTTTCCAAGAAAAGTTTACTTTAATGGTGATGAATGTATGTTACCTCCACCAGATTCATACCCTTTTCTACCAAACTCTGCACAAGGAAACTTTGCTTCTTTATCACTCACCATTCTTCTTCTTCTTTTAATCATCTCAATCTGGTGATTTGATCTGATCCTTCTGGGTTTTAAACACTGAACCAGAACTGTTTTTTGTAAACTCATTGCAACGACTGTAAAATTAAAAAAGCTTTTTTTTTTTTTTTTTTTGTGTGAGAGGAAATGATTAGATATGTGTAAGGTTTTTTACCTTAATCACTGCCATTGATTCAATGGTTCTGATCGATTCAAGCTTTTTGCTTTGGTACTCATGTGAAAGACTGAAAGTGAAGCATATTACTTGAAAAAGTGGCATAACAAAATGTTTTTAATTGGGCCCAATAAAGGCCTGGTTTAACATTCACGCGTTTCAATATACAATTCGCGTGTGTGTATATTTTTCGTTGGTCTGAAAAGGCAAAAGGTCAAAAACGGCGTTTTGTTTGGGAGACACTTTTTGTTGGAAGATATTTTCTCATTTCTCTCTGTCCGAAAAGGCTCCATTAATTTTGAAGTATATATTCCAAAAATAATTTTATGTCAAGAATAGTATTTTGAAAATAAGAACAGAATTTTACCTATATATATATATATATATTTATCAAACAAATTAGACACTTTCAAAGATTAGTATCATTCAAAATAGTTTGCAAATTAATTTAATATTTTTTTGGAAAAAACCAAAATTGCTAAAAGACAGTATTTGTGAACAAGTTGAACTCTGAGCATTAGTAAATTGAATAAAAATAATATTTCTGATATAATTTATGAAATAAATATCTGCAAGCCAGTCCCGCACGGTGGCTTTTTAAACCCAAATTAATGCCCTTTGATTGAGAGATCTGAATTTAGGACTGAAAAGTTTGTTGCTGACCAAACGCGAAATTTCGATTAAAAAACGCGTTTGCGTTTTGAAATTCTCCTGTGTTTGTGTGGAAAATTATTTTTCTTCTCCCGACGAATCCCAAAAGTTTGTTGAAATTTGCCTCCAAGAAATCTGCAATTAGAAATTTCATTTCGCCGTCATCGTCTTCTTCTTCTGCTCGATTCCAGATGTCTTCCTGAGTCTTACGGAGATTAGGTCATTTTCGCCTCGAACTCGGTCTCGCAGCATCCGAGAGAGTCATGAACACGCCACCGAGTTCTCGTGTCGCATCTTTTGGTCAGACGGAGATTAACTGGGACAAGTACGTTCTCCGTTTTCCTCAATTTCCATTGATTGATCCGCTTGCTTTGATTGATTCTCTCTGGCGTTCTTGTTATTAGTCCGAATTTGTTTATTGTTGTTTCGATCCAGTTTTTGTGATTCTGTGATTGGTTTCTTCGGTGGATTTATCGACATGAGACGGATATCGCTCGTTGTTTTGACGGAATCATTTGGTGGAGGTAATTGAAGATTTCCGAATTTGGATTGGAAAGAATCTGGTTCTAGGACTCCTTGGTCCAGAGAGAAGCTCGATTTCAGAAATTGATTTGGCGCAGTAGATTTGTTCGCTAGTGTTAATCGTAATCTTTGTTTTAGTGAAAGATCTGATAGGCATTTATATATTTTTAGGGTTCTTGATTCTTACGGTAATAATCTGAGAGTTACTTGAAGAATCATACAACAAATGGTAGTTAGTTATATCTAAACATTATGTAACTTACGGAGAAACTGCTTGATATCTTCATTCTAGCTCTAATCATTTTTGCTCACTCTCTTCCTTTTAACTTGCAGACTTGACAAAAGGAGGTTTTACGTTGTTGGAGCTGGCCTCTTCACTGGTGTTACAGTAGCTCTGTATCCTGTATCCGTTGTGAAAACAAGGCTTCAAGTTGCTTCTAAAGAGATTGCTGAGAGAAGTGCCTTTTCTGTAGTTAAAGGAATCTTAAAGAATGATGGTGTTCCCGGTCTGTACCGAGGTTTTGGTACTGTCATTACAGGTGCAGTACCTGCAAGGATCATATTTCTAACTGCTCTTGAGACCACAAAGATTTCTGCTTTTAAGTTGGTTGCACCTTTGGAGCTAAGTGAACCTACACAAGCTGCCATTGCAAATGGAATTGCCGGCATGACAGCATCGCTTTTCTCACAGGCTGTGTTTGTCCCAATTGATGTTGTATGTATTATTATACCACTACCGCTTTGTAAGATATGTACATGCTGTGAATGTTCAATCACTATGTGTTGCTGAAAACCATATTTCTCCTATTTTCTGCAGGTTAGCCAAAAGTTGATGGTACAAGGATACTCAGGGCATGCTACATATACTGGTGGTATCGATGTCGCCACAAAAATCATTAAGTCATATGGCGTAAGGGGCTTATACAGAGGGTTTGGTCTGTCTGTTATGACCTATTCTCCTTCAAGTGCTGCTTGGTGGGCTAGCTATGGATCAAGCCAACGTGTTATCTGGAGGTTAGCCATGAATGTTTTGGTTAATTGATGATAGCTTCCATTTTAGTTTGATTGCAAGAACTCGCATTTCGGTCCTTCCTGAAATTTTAAATGACTGGGCTTTTGGATTCCCACTGATACAATATCTGCTACTGTTGGGCAGATTCTTAGGTTATGGTGGTGACTCGGATGCAACTGCTGCTCCTAGTAAGTCAAAAATTGTTCTGGTCCAGGCTGCTGGAGGAATTATTGCTGGTGCAACAGCATCCTCAATTACAACACCATTAGACACAATCAAAACGCGACTGCAGGTATAAACTGTTCCCACTCATAATAAAAAACTTGATTCCACTTTGCATTTGCTTTTTAACTCATGTTCGTAACTGATGTCCTGGTTCTCATTTTCTCAATTAGTAACTGTGGGTATTGCTACATAGAAGTTATACTAAACAAAACCGTAAATCTCTGTGCAGGTCATGGGACATCAAGAAAATAGACCTTCAGCGAAACAAGTGGTGAAAAAACTGCTAGCAGAAGATGGCTGGAAAGGATTCTATCGGGGTTTGGGCCCAAGATTCTTTAGTATGTCGGCTTGGGGAACCTCGATGATATTGACTTACGAATACTTAAGTAAGAAATATTTTCTTTTATACCCAAAATCTCACTTTGAGCCACTCTCAAAACCAACCAAGATTCTTGTTTTGAAATGCTACTTGCTCCTCTGACACGTTTTCACTTTTTCTTGGGTTTTTTTTTTCAGAGCGTCTGTGTGCAATAGAAGATTAGAAAGCCTCACTACTGTTCGTTGGTTTTTCTCCTTCTACTAACTGGAGTAGAGGTATCAACTCGATTCAAATCTCGGCTATTGGGAGCTTCCATGTTGACAATTGGACCATTCTTTCAACTTTGAAGTCTGAGTTCCGTTATTGTAATCATTCTTTCAACTTTGCGTATTGGAGTGTATTCTTACAGCAGAAGAAATTCTAGCTTACGTTCTTCTGCTTTATGTAGCTTCTGAGATTTAAGAAGCTTCAAAACATTGCAATCACTTCACCAAATCTTATAATCGTATGGATGTACGTGTTATCGTAACAGTCAAAATTTGAGTCTAGTTTTGTTGTTGCAAATGACTTCTAATTTGCATTACTGTCTTCACAAACTATCCTCATTCTTAGGATATCAGCCAAAGGCCCAAAGCTAACCTATGGCCATTCTCATTGATACTGTTTATCAATTAGCATTTGCATAATCTTCAAAAATTTTTTTTTTTTTTTTTGTATATTTAAAAAAAGTTGATGCTAAACCGAACGAATTTGATGCTGTGTCTCATTGTAGTAAAAGCCACTAACCTTAGGCTAAAACCTAATCACCAAGAGCGCTTAACTGGGTTTCATTTAGCTCATATACGTAAATTTTTTACTCTTTTTTTTTTTATACGTAAATTTATTACTCTACTTCTTAAGATTTAGAATTTTAGAGTGGTTATGCTAGACAAAAAGCCATCGATTTTAACTTGTTAGTTATTAATATATGTATTTCATGGTTATTCAAAATCAGCTAAAATAAAAATAATTCATACTATACGAAAAGTTTCAAGATAATTTTCAAAAAAAAAAAACAGGAAAAGTAGTTTGTATTTGACTAATTGACTTTTTAATTAAGTTATTTCCTCGAAGTCTCATTTTTTCCCCCTCTGACTCAACAGATTAATTTCTCTATTAGAATAACAACTTAAATATTTCCCGGAGACCTAAATATTCTTTAAAACGTCTTTATCAACAACAACAAATTCTTGTTTTGTAATTTTGTTTCCTCTAATTAAAAAAAAAGACTTAAATAAATCAGGATATGTCGAAAGCATATGATAGGATGGAGTGGAGCTATCTGAAGGCTCTTCTTTCTGCATTGGGTTTCTGTCATAAATGGGTTGACTTAGTGATGTACTGTGTAACCACTGTCTCTTACACTGTCCTGATTAATGGACAGCCGTTTGGTCTGATTAATCCTGGAAGAGGCATCAGACAGGGTGACCCCCTGTCCCCATCTTTGTTTGTCTTATGTGCTGAAGGATTAACCCATCTAATGAACAGGGCTGAGCAACAAGGGTTAATTAATGGTATCCAATTTTCAGATGATGGTCCGGCTATCCATCATTTACTGTTTGCTGACGACAGCCTGTTCTTGTTCAAGGCACAAGAAGATCAATGTGAGGTAATCCAAGACATTTTGGAATCTTATGGGAAGGTCACACGTCAGCTAATTAATCTTGACAAGTCCTCTATTTCTTTTGGGGATAATATTGAAGCGCTGGTTAGGGTTTCAATTCAAGAAAAGTTAGGGATTTTTAATGAAGGTGGAACTGGCTCTTATCTAGGACTGCCCGAATGCTTTAGCGGTTCTAAAGTGGATATGTTGGCTTACATTCATGACAAAATGAAAGCAAGGATGTCAGGATGGTTTGCTAGAACCCTTTCTCAAGGTGGGAAGGAGGTCTTACTAAAAGCTGTTGCCATGTCTATGCCGGTATATGCTATGTCCTGCTTCAAGTTACCAAAGACAGCATGTGACAATCTCTCTGCGGCTATGGCTGCTTTTTGGTGGGACTCTACAGAGGATAAGAGGAAACAGCATTGGATTGGTTGGGATAATCTGTGTATTCCAAAGCATCATGGTGGCCTGGGCTTTAAGGATTTACAAATTTTCAATCAGGCCTTGCTAGCCAAACAGGCATGGAGGATTTTGCAGGATAAAGACAGTCTCTTTGCTCTGTTTTTGAAGAGTAGATATTTTGTTGATTCATCATTCCTTCAAGCTCAAATGGGAGGGCGTCCATCTTTTGCATGGAGAAGTATTCTCCATGGGAGAGATCTCCTCAAAAATGGTCTTCGACATATGATTGGTGATGGTGATTCTACTTTTGTCTGGACTGTTCCTTGGGTTCTTGATGGTGTTATGAGAGCACCACTTATGAAGAACATCATCTTCGACTTGGATTTGAAAGTAAAAGATCTTCTGGACCCTATTACCGGTTTGTGGGATCTTGATCATTTGCATGAACATTTTTATCCAAGGGATGTTGATTTGATCTTAAAAATCAAACCGGTCAAATCTTCTATGGATTACTTCATCTGGGAACACACAAGGAGTGGAGAGTACTCGGTTAAATCCGGATATTGGTTTGGTTTTCAAAGAGACAAGGCTGACCTTATTAGAGAAGCACAAATGCAGCCCTCCATTTTGCCCATCAAAGATCTGATCTGGAAAAGCATTACTCCAACGAAGATTAAAAATTTTATGTGGAAAGTGATTAGTGGTGCTATTCCTGTTGTTGATAGGATGATGAGAAGAGGACTCAAAGTGGACTCAAGATGTCAGACTTGTGGGCTTGAAGGTGAATCTACAAACCATGTCTTATTCAATTGCACGGCTGCGAGGCAGACGTGGGCCTTATTTAACTTCCCAATCCCTAGTCATGGGTTTGATTCTCACTCTATCTATCACAACATGTTCTACCTCTTCTTGACTGCAAAAAATAGTCTGATTCCTTTGGAGATTAGAAGATCATTTCCTTGGATTTTGTGGCAGTTGTGGAAAAACAGAAATCTGTTTTTCTTTGAAGGAAGAAGATTTGTGATCACTGAAACTGTGGCAAAGATAAAAAATGATGTCAATCAATGGTTTTTTTGCGCAAATCTTAGAGAACAGGGATTTGAGGAACGACCAACTAGCTCAGGCTAATATTAAGACCAAATGGTCTCCTCCACCCCATGAATGGTTAAAGTGCAATGTTGGATCTTCATGGGATAAAACACATTGTATTGGAGGAGGTTCATGGGTGCTTAGGAATGAACATGGACATGTGATCTATCATGGCAGAAGATCTTTTGCTTTTGTGAACAGTAAGCTGGAGGCTAGTGTCATATGTTGGCAATGGGCAATGGAGAGTATGAGAAGCCTCAGAGTAAACAAGATTACCTTCGCTTCTGAGGATACCGATCTGATTGGAGCTGTTTTAAGACCAGCTGCTTGGCCCTCTTACAAGTTCTACTCTCTTCTTTTGTCTGCTGAATTAGGAAATTTTTTGGATTGGAAGTTGTGTGGTGAGGTTAGGAGCTCTAACCTAGGAGCTCATCTCATTGCCAAAAGTGTTACAAAGGAGGATCGTCGCCAATCGTACGTAGCAACCGGTTTTCCTTTGTGGTTAAAACATCTTTTTGAGAATGAAAGTAGTATTGCCGAGGTGTAGTACTCATGTGGGTTGATCTTGATGATTGTCTTTGATCCTCTTCTTTTGTATGTTTGGTTGAAACTCATGATATATATAACAACAAAATCTTTCAGTGAAAAAAAATAAAAAAAAATCAGGATACAATCTTTTTTTTTTTTTTTTTTTTCGCCGGATACAATCAAATACTATAAGAATGCATTATTCATAGTAACTTTTAGATATTTATGAAATAAAGTAAAGTGTCGTTCACCTACCGACCTACGTGCATGTATTCTCGTCTATATGATTTTTTTTTTTTTTTTTTTTTTTTTTTGTTTTTTCTCGTCTATATGATAGTTACATGATTTATGCAATAATCATAGACGACGTGCATCGATGAGCGGCCCACGACCACGACGTAAGGATTACGGTTTAATTTTATATATAGTTTATCAATTGTATTTTTTAAATAATAAATTTAGAATGACTGAGAATTTGTTGACAAATGAAAAATATCAGAGAAGCTTATCGAATGATTCGAATCTGAAGCGAATAATAACAAATGATGATTTATGTCCTTTTATTTCGTCGACATTTATGATTTAAGTCCTAATATATAAGTTGTATATAAAGTGAAATGTTGGTTTGTTCAAAAAAAAAAAAAAAAAAAGTGAAATGTTGAAGAGTTTAAGACACTACCATAGCTCCCCCACATTCACATGCACTATTTCTTCGTAACATAGCAAATTAAAACAATGCATTTATTAAGTTGTCAGTTAAGGAAATATTTTTTGTGAATTTATTATTTGATTTTAATTTAATTTTTCAGTTTTTCTTTTAGGTAAAAACTAAAAAGAATGAAACCTTAGTTTTGTAACATACTAAAAACCTTACTACTGTATTACATTCCAGTCAACAAATACAGTAAGTACATTTTGTTAGATATACGTTCATTTCATTAGCACATACGTTATATACTTATATAGTAATCATAACCATAAAACTGTACATATGAATTTATTTGGTTGCAATATAAAGTTAACTTCAATCAATTAAATGCTTCACCATTTAAGAGTTTCGTTTTTATTTAGGGGTATTAAATCTAAATAAAACTGAAAATGAAACAAAAGCAAATTTAAATTAAAATCATCCTTTTTATGGTCAGGAAAAAAGTTAAAATAATTCGTACTATAGCCTTAAATTACTTTGACCTTTTTAATAATATATTCAAAATTATTTCAAACACAAATGAAACTATACCAAAAAAAAAAAAAAAAAAAAACTGAGGAAGAGCCAAAAAAAATCACATGTTATTATTCATCGTTGAATAATATTTTTTTTTTGTCAAACCTTGGATTAACATGTACTATCAATCAACCTAACTGTAAATAATATTCGGTATCATCACAATTGGGTATAAAGTTTATCTATAATTAAAATTTTAAATAAATTAATTATATTACGATTATTACAATCCCGAATTCTACGGACAATCAAAAGACATATCTACAGCTTTTTCGATTAGAGTTGAAATAGTCTTAATCTGACACGTGTAACTCGCACGTGCCGTCCACTAGTGCCAGATCTGTATAAATCAAACCTACGCGTTTCATATCTCTTTTCAAATCTCACCGACGCGATCAGATCTCATCTCTCTCATTTCGAAACCATGGTTGAGCCGGCGAATACTGTTGGTCTCCCGGTGAATCCGACGCCCTTGCTGAAAGATGAGCTCGATATCGTGATTCCGACTATCAGAAACCTCGATTTCCTCGAGATGTGGAGGCC